TTTTCTGTTGGCCAGGCTGGAGTGCAGTGGCACGATCTCAGCTCACTGTAACCCCCACCACCTCCTGGGTTCAAGCGATTTTCATGCCTCAGACTCCCAAGTAGCTGGGATTACAGGCATGCACCACCATGCACAGCTAATTTTTGTATTTTTAGTAGAGATCAGGTTTCACCATGTTGGCCAGGTTGGTCTTGAATTCCTGGCCTCAAGCGATCTGCCCACCGGGTGAGCCACTGCACCCGGCCTCGACAACAACAAAAAAACTTAAATTACCCTATGCATTTCTTCATTTGTATCCTTTGTAATATCCTTTATATTAATAATAAAACAGTAAATGTAAATAAATAAATACTGTTTGTCTCTTCCCAGCAGATTGTAAGCCTAATTAGGGCGGGGATCATATCTGTTTTATTCACATCGTAAGCACTGTGTAACCTCTTTTTTCTTTTTTTCTTTGGGATGGCGTCTCACTCTGTGGCCCAGGCTAGAGTGCAGTGGCGCCATCTCAGCTCACTGCAACTTCCGCCTCAAGCAATTCAAGTGATTCTCCTACCTCAGCCTCCCGAGTATTTTGTATTTTTAGTAGAGATGGGGTTTCACCATGTTGGTCAGGCGGTCTTGAACTCCTGACCTCAGGTGATCTGCCTGCTTTGGCCTCCCAAAGTGCTGAGATTACAGGCGTTAGCCACTGCGGCCTGGCCAATAGGCACTATATAACTATTAGTTGAATGAATGAAGAAATGAATACTTGTGGGCATCATTCATTCTGTAACAAACTTTAAAAATTTAATTTTACTTTGAAACAATTTCATACTTTCAGAACAGTTACAAGGATAATACAAAGAAGTTCACACAGATATCTCACTAAGGGTTAGCCATTTGTTCACAAAATACACTTTAGAGAGCAAGAGGATTCATTCCAGGAACTCTTGAGCAACAAATATTTATTGAGCGCCTGCTACTATTGGATTACATAACAGTCTCCTAACTGGTCTCTTAGCTACAGCCATTGTACCCCCACCCCTAGTCCCATACAGCAGCTTCCTTTTACTGATTTATTTATTTATTATTTATTTATTTATTTATTGGGACAGAGTCTCGCTCTGTCGCCCAGGCTGGAGTGCAGTGGCGGGATCTCAGCTCCCTGCAAGCTCCGCCTCCGGGTTCACACCATTCTCCTGCCTCAGCCTCCCGAATATCTGGGACTACAGGCGCCCGCCACCACGCCCCGCATATTTCTTTTTGTATTTTTAGTAGAGACGGGGTTTCACCTTGTTAGCTAGGATGGTCTCGATCTCCTGACCTCGGGATCTGCACGCCTCGGCCTCCCAAAGTGCTGGGATTACAGGCGTGAGCCACAGGGCCCGGCCACCTTTTACTAATTTATTTTTGAGGAGGATCTCGCTCTGTCGCCCAAGCTGGAGTGCAGTGCCGCGATCTCGGTTCACTGCAACCTCCGCCTCCCGGCTCAAGCGATTCTCCTTCCTCAGCCTCCAGAGTAGCTGGGACCACAAGCACGCACTACCGCGCCCGGCTAATTTTGGTATTTTTTGTAGCTACGGATAGGATAGAGATCTTTGTCTATTTTGTTCATGAAGTGTTGCAAGCGCCTGCAGCTGTACCTGGCACATCTTTGTTGCTCAATAAAGAGTGCTTGAATAAACGAATGCTGAAGGTATGCTAGTACCAGGTACTGTTCTCAGTGCTGGAGTTACAGCAAAAAACTCCATGTCCTTGTGGGATTCTCATTGGAAGTACGCTTAAGCTTAAGCCATTTTTCCAATCTTGGTCCCACCATTTTGTTCCCTGTGAGATTTGGGGTAAACTACTTAAAGCCTCCAAGCCTCACTTTCCTATCAATCGTTACGAAGATTAAATGGAAAAACAGCATTTGTATCGCATTTAGCATAAGAAACCCTTTAATATTTGTTTCCCTTCCTTTCAGACTGGAAGACTGGAGCCTGACATCTCTGCCACAGGCTTAGGCGAGGTTTTCACAGGGACTTGGAAAGGTGCAAACGGCCAGGCTTACCCAACTGTTAAGATATTCTGGCGAAAGAGTGCTTAAAAGGGTTGGAAAAAGAAACCAGTGAGTGGCTAGGACCACCTACTCCGCCGTTTTGCCTCGGAAAAGCCTGGCCGGCTGCCGGCAGGTGGAAGTCTGGAGAAAAGGGAGGAAAAGAGGGCAGGTGGCTGTCCACAACTGAAAACTACACATCCCAGCACGCCCCGCGGCAGACGACTACGGGTCCCAGCAGGTTCGCGGGGTAGATCGAAGGGGAGTCTCTTGGGCCCTGTAGCCGGGGTTCTGCCAGAGGGGGCGCCGGGCGTACCGAGGTAGCGGGGAGAAGCGGGTCGAGCTTTAACGGCGCTGCGCAGACGCCACTCACGGGCCGGACGTGACGCAGGGAAAGTTCCGGCTTCGGCCTCCGCCGCTGCCGTCGCCGCTTCTACCGCCGCCGCCGCTGCTGTTGCCGCGGCTTGTTATTCCTAAAATGGCGCCGCTAGACCTGGACAAGTATGTGGAGATAGCGCGGCTGTGCAAGTACCTGCCAGAGAACGACCTGAAGGTGAGCCCTGCTGGGGCGGGAGCCCTGTTTGCGGGCTCGCCCCTTCCGGCTGTGGGGCGCCCGGCGGCCCGCCCTTCCTTTCTCCGGGACCCCCGCTGGGTATCCCGTCCCGTCGCGGTGGAGGGCCTGCCCCAATGCCAAGCGACCCGGTCCGACCCGGCGTCACGCCGAGGGTCGGGGGAGCCGAGTCCCCCGAATGCTGTCCCAGTTGCCTCGGTGGAGATCCCGAGGGATGTCGCGGCCTCTGCCCCAGGGTCGCCCCTTCTGGCCTTCGGGCTGCCCCAGGACCCGCAGCTGTAACAGCTTTGCTTAGAAGACTCGGCTCACCACCCCATCCCCGGGTCTCCCGCAGTCGGAGCCGAGCCCCCGCGGCAGTGCCCTCGGGATGGGGTCGCCACCACTGGAAGTGACAGGAGCGCGGAGTGGCCGGCGTCTGACAGGAGATGGCACCGGCTCCCGGAACGCGGCTCCAATGTGTTTAGGTCTCTGAGGAAGGGGCAGGCGGTGGGCCCGAGTGGTTTGGTACTGACGGGAACGAACGTCAGCTCTTTCTTTGCCACTCCTCCAAATTGCTTTTTAGGATCGTCGGTTTTCTTTTGCTAATTCAGAGGTGAATCCCGTTTTTGAATATGTTGTTGAGGTTACTGAAGTGGATAAAGTAGTTGGTTCTCAATAAATACAAATACTTTTTCCTTAACCGCTTCTGAACTCAACATTTCATTTTCTTGATTTTCTAAAGGAGGTGAATTCTTTGTTACTCCTGAGTCCAAGTAAGAGTAAATGTATGTATGGGTAAGGAATGGCTTTGGTATACTGCTTTTCTTTTTTAAAAACTTTTTAATTATTATTATTTTTTAAATTGAGATAGAGCCTTACTCTGTCCCCCAAACTCGAGTGCAGTGGTGCGATCTTGCTCACTGCAACCTCTGCCTCCTGGGTTCAGGCGATTGTCCTGTCTCAGCCTCCCGACTAGGTGGGATTACAGGCGCCCACCACGACTCCCGGCTGTTTTGTATTTTTAGTAGAGACAGGGTTTCGCCATGTTGGCCAGGCTGGTCTTGAACTCCTGACCTCAAGTGATCTGCCCGCCTCGGCCTCCCAAAGTGCTTGTATTACAGGCCTGAGCCACCGTGCCCCGCCTAGGGTATACTGCTTTTTTGAAAAGTGTTTCTATGCATTTGCTGAAATCAGAACTTAGGTTTCTAGCAGTGCTTATCAGCTCGTGCTAGTATTTATCCGACTCAGTGTATTCTTCTTTTTTTGGAGACGGAGTCTCCCTCTGTCGTCCAGGCTGGAGTGCGGTGGCGCGATCTCCGCTCACTGCAAGCTCCTCCTGCTGGGTTCATGCCATTCTCCTGCCTCAGTCTCCCGAGTCTCTGGGACTACAGGCGCCCGCCATCACGCCTGGCTAATTTTTTTGTATTGTTAGTAGAGACGGGGTTTCACCGTGTTAGCCAAGATGGTTTCGATCTCCTGACCTCGTGATCCGCCCACCTCGGCCTTCCACAGTGCTGGGATTACAGGCGTGAGCCACCGCGCCGGACACCGGCTCAGTGTATTCTTAAAGAAATATATTACTGTGGGTTTTGTTTTATTTCTTCTTTGTACAGTAAGTTGATACTTAACATCAGTCAACAAGTATGCATAATATTTGAGGCCACACATGGTGTTATGAATGTGACTGAATTGTACTTACCTGTTAATTTTGTGTGGCATATGACAGGGGAGTCATTCCTCTGCATTCTCCCATTTTTAATAGAATAATTTAAAATAAGGACAGCCTTCGTTAGTAGTAATGTAGCATTCGTGCTCATCTGAGTCCTTCAGACACTCCTTTTGTAACTTCTTTCTGCTATGTGTTTTTTTTTTAAGGGAATAAGAATACAACTAGCTTTGGGATCCAATTCATGGAAAACTAACCAGACCTCTTAGTAGCATTATTAATCCCGTAGGTGAGGTTGACTATTGCATGTCAGTGAATTGACATGGAATTTTTTCTTTTTATTTATCATGCGTAAAGCTTTTTTGAACTTTGTGTTTATGATGAATAAAATGTTGCTTTTTATGAAAATGTGTCTAGGGCGCGGTGGCGTAATCCCAGCACTTTGGGAGGCTGAGGCAGGTGGATCACTTGAGGTCAGGAGCTCGAGACCAACCTGGCCAACATGGTGAAACCCCGTCTCCACTAAAAACACAAAAATAAGCTGGGGGTGGTGGCAGGTGCCTGTAATCCCAGTTACTTGGGAGCTGAGGCAGGAGAATTGCTTGAACCAGGGAGGCAGAGGTTGCAGTGAGCCAAGATTGCGCCACTGCACTCCAGCCTGGGTGTCAGAGGGAGACTCTGTGTCAAAAAAAAGGTAATCTGTTGGACTTCTTTGTACCTCTTAGTTTGATAAACATTAGATTTCCTTCTTAAGGAAGTATAGTTTTTAGACCATTTTATTTCCTGCATTGTACTTGACTTGTATTTGTTTGTTTTTTTTCTTAGAAATTTTAAAAATCTTTTTATCTTTTTTTTTTTGAGCAGGGAGACGGTCTCACTCTCACCCATGTTGTAGTGTGGTAGCATAATCATGGCCTACTGCAGCCTCGACCTCCTGGGCTCAGGCAGTCTTCCCACCTTAGCCTCCTGAGTAGCTGGGACCACAGTCACATGTCCCCATGCCCAGCTAATTTTTATTTATTTTTTTGGTAGCGACAGGGTCTTGCTATGTTACCCAGGCCAGTCTTGAACTCCTGGGCTCAAGTGATCCTCCCACCTCAGCTTCCCAAAATGCTGGGATAACAGGCATGAGCCACTGTACTCAGCTTGTATCTGTTTCTTAATAAACTTAAAAATATGTATTTTGGGCAACCAAGACAAAATAATTCTGAATTTTTCTTTATAAGTTGAGACTTTTTTTCTGTCTTGGAAATGTTTTTATCAGATTAATTTGTTGTGTTGCTCATCTGTGGTGTATTTAAAGAAGCTTAATTTTGTTTCTGTTTCTTGGCATGGAGTGCAACCTAAAATTAGGACAAGAAAGTATGCCAGGAGTATTTTTTCTGAGGCTGTAAAGGCAAAATAAAAGATGCTATTAAGAAAAGAAATTATTGAGGCCACTTAATGAACATGATGGAAAAGATTTGTTCTGGTAGAAAAGAAGACAGAAATTTACCTGTATTTTAAATTGATTAGAAGATGGAGATACTAGATCAAATACTAAATGCACAGGATGTTCCAGATGTAATCACAATTTGTGTTTCGCTAAGTTGGAAATGGTCACATCACTAGTACTGGATCAAATCTACATAACTGTTTTTGTTTGTTTGTTTGTTTTTTTGAGACAGAGTTTCTCTCTTGTTGCCCAGGCTGGAGTGCAATGGCGCGATCTTGGCTCACTGCAACCTCCGCCTCCTGGGTTCAAGGGATTCTTCTGCCTCAGCCTGAGTATCTGGGATTACAGGCATGCGCCACCACGCCCAGTTAATTTCGTATTTTTAGTAGAGAGAAGGTTTCTCCATGTTGGTCAGGCTGGTCTCGAACTCTCAACCTCAGATGATGTGCCCACCTCGGCCTGCCGAAGTGCTGGAATTATAGGTGTGAGCCGCCGCGCCTGACCTGTTTTTTTTTTTTTTTTTTGAGACGGAGAGTGCAGTGGCTGGATCTCAGCTCACTGCAAGCTCCGCCTCCCGGGTTTACGCCATTCTCCTGCCTCAGCCTCCCGAGTAGCTGGGACTACTGGCGCCGGCTACCTTGCCGGGCTAGTTTTTTGTATTTTTTAGTAGAGACAAGGTTTCACCGTTTTAGCTGGGATGGTCTCGATCTCCTGACTTTGTGATCCGCATGTCTCAGCCTCCAGAAGTGCTCGGATTACAGGCTTGAGCCACCACGCCCGGCCAACCTATTTGTTTTTTTTGAGATGGAGTCTTGCTGTCGCCCAGGCTGGAGTGCAGGTGCATGTTCTCAGCTCACTGCAACCTCCCCCTCCCGGATTCAAGCGATTCTCCTGCCTCAGCATCCTGAGTAGCTGGGATTACAGGCACCCACCTCCACCCCTGGCTAATTTTTGTATTTTTAGTAGAGATGGGGTTTCACCATGTTGGCCAGGCTGGTCTCGAACACCTGACCTCAGGTGATCCACCCTTCTCAGCCTCCCAAAGTGTTGGGATTACAGGCGTGAGCCACCGTGCCCAGCCTACATAATGGTTTTGAAGGAGTAAGAATGACATACGTGGGCCAGGGGGCTGAGGCAGGAGAATTGCTTAACCCCAGGAGAGGGAGGTTGCAGTGAGCTGAGATCGTGCCACTGCACTCCAGCCTGGCCAACAGAGCGAGACCCTGTCTCAAAAAAAAAAAAAGACGTGAAAGTGAATGGACCACAGTGTAACCTTTCTTATAAAGAGTTCATGTGATTTTATCCACAAGAAAGATTTCAGAGAGATTAACAAAAGGTACAGATTCCATACCTGACCAAGTGGAAGAATTAATGATAAAGGCAGGTTTACTGAATACCTATATTGAAGTATTAATATTTTTGGGGAGCAGGGGTTCTATAACTTGGAGGTTGTCTAATCTCTTGTACAGTTCTTAAGGGTGACATGTTTACCTGAGGTTTTTTTATTTTTATTTTTTTTTGAGACTGAGTTTAGCTCTGTTGCCCAGGCTGGAGTACAGTGGTGCCATCTCAGCTCACTGGAGTCTCCACCTCCCAGGTTCAAGCAGTTCTGCCTCAGCCTCCCAAGTAGCTGGAATTATAGGCACGTGCCACCGCGCCCAGCTAATTTTTGTATTTGTAGTAGAGATGGGGTTTCACCATGTTGGCTAGGCTGGTCTTTAACGCTTGACCTCAAATAATCTGCCCGACTCGGCCTCTCAAGGTGCTGGGATTGCAGGTACGGTGGTGCCTGGCTGAGTTATTTGGTTTTGCAGTGAATTTTTCTTCAGATACACTGAGGACAGCTGAACGCAACAGTTAGGGATGCACCTGGCTTTGTATGGGGCTGGAAGAGTGTTTTCT